AATCTCGAACAGAGAACATGTAATTTAAAATTCCTTAGCTTAGATTTAAACACTTCTTTCAATAACTCGTGTGCTTGCGCCCCTTGGAGGCATTCTGTTTTTAATTTCCAATTGTAAAGTCATCGCCAATAAAAGAACACCCCTTTTTGAGACTTTGTCTCAAGAGGTTTGTCCCTTACACAATCGTCTGATCCCTTTTAATTGTTAGGGACTAACCCGTGCGAAACAGGGATATTATCCACATCGAATAAAGATGATAATATAATCCAACTTATAAGATTTAGGGTTACTCCTTTTAACAAGGTTGATCTTTTAAGATGAAATTTCAAGTCTTAACAATAACCATGATTTTACCAATCTAGGCCCTAGCTAGTAATTAATTCATTCACTTCTCAAGTGGAAGCCAAGCATTAACCACAAAATGTTTCAGCTTTCTTTCTCTCAATCAACATTATCAGTCGAATAGAAGCTTCTGATTTAAGTAAGAATATGGGCATTGATGATGCATTATCTATAATTAGTGCTGCATGGGTTATTTTATGGACAATTTGTCAAAGCTATATTTAGATTATTTCAATAGTTCCCTTTCAATTTTTATTTGATTGGTTCACACGAATACTCGTACATATATTAACGGGTTCATTGAACATTGATATACCCCAATAATTATCTTCTATTGAATTTTGAATAAGAAGATGAACATAAGAATTCGATATGATTCATATATACATTCTCAATGTATTAGCACGTACAATGCATGTATACACATTAACAAGCATGTCCCCACAGGCTACAAGTACGAATATGAGTCTTTGATTGTATTTTGAAGATAACAGTATTTGAGAGTTTGTACATTAATATACTTTTCTTGAGAGATATTGTGCTTCACTATAAATCTTTGTCTTAAGCTTCAGATAATTAAAAAAAATACAATTTGTCTTCTCTTTGAAACTTAGTTGATCTTCAATAAAGAAAGATATCGAGATCTCATTAAAATTTCGATAAAAACTTCATTCGTTTTGAAAATGGTAGAGGATAATTTGAGGATATTTTCAAATGACACATTTGGTTTTTTATTTTATGACTTTGGTCAAGAAATGTGACTATTACTAAATTTTAAAGATGAACTCAATGAACAATCAATTAGGGGATAAATTGTGGTGCTAGAAGGCCAAAGTTCAGGGACTATTATTGTAGCCATTGACAAATGTATTCAACTTCTGTTTTTGACTCAATAATCCTCATTGTGAGGGTTCCTTTGTATATATAGAGAAAATAAGGCATATTACACGGCTGAATGTTAATCTTCACTGTACACATATAGGAAATGAGTAATTTTCTACCAATTATACAAAGCGTCTTTTCTAATTGCTAGCTGTAAATTAGTTTTCGTATCTAGTTGATACCCCCCTCAAATTGATACTGGGTGATCAAGAAGCATCAATTTTCCCACAAGAAAGAGATGGTGTTGTCGTGTCATGGCTTTGGTGAATATATCGACAATCTGAAGATCAGTAGAGATATGTGGAAGAGAAATAATATTTTCCTCAAAAGCCTCTCTAATTGAGTGACAGTCCACTTCGATATGCTTCGTACGTTCACGATATATTGGATTTGCAACAATTTGAATAGTACTCATGTTGTCCGCATGAAGGGGTGTAAGATTGGATTAAGGAAAGCCAAGTTCAGATAAAAGCCCATGAAGTCAAATAATCTCATAACAGACAGTGGACATAGCACGGTATTCGGATTCAGTTGAAGATTTAGACACACGAGCCTACTTTTTACTCTTCCTGGAGATCAAAGAATCACCAAGAAACATACACCAACCCGTAACAGAATGACGAGTATCTGAGCACCTAGCCTAATCTGCATTACTAAATGCAACAAGACAAATGGAAGAGCCAGCAGGAGAAAACAATCCATCGCAAGGAGTACCTCAAAGATACCGAATGATGCAACGAACGGCCCCAAAATGAAGATGTTGTGGAGCTTGCATAAACTGACTGACTTGCTGATCTGCGAATGATATATCTAGCCTAGTGATGGTAATTAGTTGAGGCTCCCAACTAATTGATGAAAGATAGTAGGATCGGGAAGGAGGTCACCCTCTTCACTACGATATTTAACATTGACTTCCAGAGAAGTATCGACCGGACGAAGAATCTTGAAGACCAGCCAAACTGATCAAGTCCTGGATGTAATTATGTTAGTTCAAGAATATACCTGTAGAATCAGTGTGTGCTTTCAACCCCTAAAAATATGTAAGTGGACCAAGATCCTTCATGTGAAAGGAAGCTTGTAGATGCTGTTGGAGTTGATTGATCAACCTAGAATTTGTGCCAGTGATAACAATATCACCCACATACACAAGTAAAAGAACAACACTAGTGGATGTCTTGCAAAAAAATAAGGAGGAGTCATATTAGCTCTAGATAAAAGAAAGCTATAATAAAGTAGATTGAAACTTTTCAAACCATGCTCTAGGAGCTTATTTCAACCCATAAAGCGACTTCTTCAACTTACATACTTGTGAAGAAGAAGAAGAAGAAGAAAGACCCGGATGAGGTGTCATGTTAATATCTTCCTTGAAATCACCATGAAGAAAAGCATTTTTGACATCTATTTGGTGAAGAGGCCATCGTTGAGAGACAGCAATAGAAAGAATAGTGAGCACCGTAGTCATCTATGCCACTGGAGCAAATGTCTCATCATAATCTACTTCATATTCCTGCCTATTTCTAAGAGGAACTAGGCGAGCTTTATAACGATCCATAGTTCCATCAGAGCGAAACTTAATAGAATAGACCCACTTGCAACCAATTGCCTTGACACTAGGTGGACAATGAACAATATCCCATGTATGATTATCCTGAAGAGCCTGAAATTCTTCATCCATAGCTTTCCGCCACCATTCATGTTTAGTTGCTTCTAAATAACTTGGAGGTATTGATGTTAATGTAGTGGCAAATGAATGAAAAGAACCATATCTATCAGGCGGTCGAGAAATACGAGTAGATCGTCGAGGTCCCGAATCAGGAGGTACATCAATATTTGATACCAACTCAGGCTGGACAAGATCAGATGTGAGGTCAACTTCAAGAATAGGCCTATTTGGTCGACGTCTCTCATACACGAGTCCAGGCTTGAATCTTTCAAGATGAGAAGTCAAATCATCAAAACATGGGAGAATAATAATTTCAGGCAAATGTTGAACATGAGTAGGAAAGAAAGGTTGCTGCTCAAAGAAAACAACATTACGAGAAATGCGAGATCTGTTAGAACATGGATAATAGCAAACATAATCTTTGTGCGGAACACTATAGCCCATAAAGGCATACTCAATAGATTGTGCAAAAAGTTTGTGTTGTTTATGAGAAGATAAATGAACAAAACAAATGCACCCAAAAGTATGTAAGTCATGATAACTAGGATGTTGATTATGAAGGCGATAATATGAAGATTCAAAGCGTAAAATTTAGGAAGGCAGTCTATTGATTAAATAAGCTATAGTAGACACTGCTTCAACCCAAAATTTTGAAGGAACATAGGAATCAAATAATAATGTACGAACAACATCCAATAAATGACAATTTTTTCGTTTTGCCACCCCATTTTGTTGAGGAGTATAAAGGCATGATCGTTGAGCAAAAATCCCTTTCTGTTTTTAAAAAATCATGAAACTCACGGGACATATATTCTTCTCCTGTATTAGGTCATACAATTTTAATACTGGTACAGAATTGGGTCTCAACATATGTCACAAAAGTCTTGAAAACTGAAAGTACTTCAGATTTAAAACGGAGAAAATAGATCCATGTATATTGGCTATAATCATCAATAAAGGTCACGAAATATTTATACTGAGCATGAGAGATGACATGCGAAATGCCCCAAAAATCACTATGCACAATATCAAAGCTTTTTTTTGGCATGACCACTATGAGAAGGAAAATGAAGAATCTTACTCTTTCCTAATTTGCATGTAGAACAATCAAAGCGCAAATTATGAGAAGGATTAGTTTTATTACCCAACAAACCAGAATTTAAGAAATAAGACAGGATAGTGGAGTTTGGATGGCCCAAGCATTTGTGCCACACTTCACTTTTATTGTTAAGAGTTATATAGGCCAAATATAAACAACTAGGAACAGAAAAATGTAATGGAAACAATCATCCAATTTTAGGCCCCTTCACGAGTATCTTCCCCGACACCTGATCCTGCACAAGAACATCATCACGGAGAAATGGATATCATAATTGTTATCAACTAATTGACCTACTGAAATAAGATTTGACAATAAACCAAGAGATATAAAAATGTCTCGAAAAGTAGAATTAATGTTACCAACAACATCAATAGCTAAATGACTCTCATTAGCTATTTGAGTATGAGATGAACCTTGATATGGGCGAATATCACAAAGACCATCGGAGGATTTGGTCATATGATTTGAGGCACCTGAATCAACAAGCCAAGATTGAGGTAAAGTATTATGTTTACTTTGAAGTCCCAAAGCAGAAAAAGTTGATGCAATCATTTGTTGCACCATTTCAGGATTAAGAATGGGTTGCGCAGCAGTAGAAGATGCCTCATGAGCTAGTGGACTAATAATAGCTTGATATGCATTGGCTTGGCGATCCTGAGGTTGAATAGGACAGTTTTTAATAATGTGTCCCGACTTCTTGCAGTGGTTGCATGACTTCTTGGTACAATGAGCAACAATATGCCCATAGTCTTTACAGTTGAAACATTGAACTTTCCGCATGTCCCTTCCATTACTTTTTCTGTGAGCTGCATAGGCGATAGCATTAGATGTCATGTGATGTTGTCGAAAAGTGGCCTATGTTGTGAGGCGCTACTCTTCTCAAAGTAAATCCCCAAAACATACATCCAAAGAAGGAGGCGGATCACAATTCTTCAAATTGGAGAGTGTAGCCTCAAATTCTGGTCGTAACTTCATCAGAAATTGATCACGTTTCCTTTGTTCATGAACCGTCTAAACAGCAGCAAGGGATTCAAGTGGTACTTTAGCATAGATAATATCAGTAAATTCACCCCATAAATTTTGAAACCCGGAAAAGTAATCTTGGATATTGAGATTGCCCTGAGTGTAATTTGCAATCTCATATTCCAATTGAAATCATTTGGCTGTGTGGTCTTGATTATAAACCTTTTTCAAATACTTCCACATATCTTTAGTAGTTTTATATGGTCTCGGATTTAAAACAATCATAGGATCAACAGATCCTGAAATCCATGTCATTAATCTTGCATCTTTCACTGTCCATTGAGCCAATTTAGCAACCTCAGTAGGAATTGGGTCACATCCATCAATGTGACCCCATAATTCTTTTCCCATAACAAACAATCGAAATTGAAATTCCCATGCAGAATAATTTTTTTCCGTGAATCGCACACCAAAGGAATCAGAAATGTTGGTTGCCATGGTACTAACAATTAATTATAAGCTTGTTTGGGAGTGATTTTTTGACCATCATTTCACTATTCCAGCCGTCATATTTGACTTTTTCTCTCACAGGTGGACACCACTTTTCTCCTAACAGTCAAAAAATCAATTCTCAAAATCACTCCCAAATAAACTCTATATCAACAACAATCCCAAATTAAATTTAGTCAGTCCAAAACAAAAGAATTAATTTTGCCCAATTAAGTTAGCCCAATAAATGTTGAACACTTGGCCCAAAGCCACCTCCAAAACAAATGAATTAATATGGCCCAATTATGTGACCAAATAAAAACCGATATTGGCCCAAATCAGCACACTCAGCCCAAGACAAATTCACGTTAACTCACCAGTCACCGGAATCACATCGAACCCACACATAAAGGATGATGAAATCGCGTCGATTACACTCAGCTGTTGGATGAGAAGCTGCGTCGTTCACCCAAGAGACGCCGAAAAGGAGAGACTCCCGAAATCATGTCAAGCCTATAAGCAGGACGCTAGAATCGTGTCGATTGCACACCAAAAGATGCCGAAAAGAGGCCGCGTCACTACACACGTCGAAAATTTCTCATAGAGACGCCGGAGATTCTCTGTAATCACCTAGAACCGAATTCCACTACTTCTTCTTTAGATATGGCTCTGATACCATGACATATGTATTCAACTTCTGTTTTTGACTCAATAATCCTCATTGTGAGGGTTCCTTTGTATATATAGGGATAATATATATAGGGATAATAAGGCATATTACAAGGCTGAATGTCAGCCACCACTGTACACGTATGGGGAATGAGTAATTTTCTACCAATTATACAAAGCATCTTTTCTAATTGCTGTCTGTAAATTACTTTTCCTATCTAATTGACAGTCGTTGGGTATGAATAACATTATTCAAAATTCAGGCAATTTCTTCTGGTAGGAGTTATGTCTGCACTAGTAGGCTGAGGCTAGGGCTGAAAATCAGCATCTCTTTGAAGTTGAATCCTCTCCAGCAAGCATTGGAGCCCACTCTGGCTCATGAATAGAAACAAATGGTACCTTTTAAGAATTTGATCTATTTTCTAGTTTTTTTCAGATTCTTTTAAGTATTTAAAATTCTAATCCAGATTTGGAAGTTACCGTTGAAATGTTGCAACTTTTTTAAGAGTTACAAGTGAACTCTATGAAATTGATATTCTCCTTCAAGTATACGGCTTTTTTTGGGTCATTTTTGTTAATAAACTATTCAACGAACTTATGTGGTTCTTTAGTTTCTTAGAGGCTGTTTTGTTTTTCGTGTGTATGACCGGAATAGTGGGGTCAAATAACCTTCTTAAGGAAGACGACTATTGCCTTGGAGCCTAAAGTTCTTTATCTTATTTATTTTCTTACTATCCAATTTCTACTACCTTCTGCTTATAACTTGGAAAAGTTTGTTGCAACAACAATGAACTGAAACGGTGACATAAAAGGATTTGTGTACTCAGCACTATAAATTTATTGAAAATAAAACTTAATTTATACTATAAATAATTAATAAGAAAAATTACGTTTGCAATTAAATTCATGTCTCTTTTTTGTTTTACCCACTTGTTACTGTAGTATTGGTTAGAATAGTAATCTAATTGTCATTGGTGATCAACACCTCTGGGTGACAATTAAATATTATTGATTGTGATAGTTTCATAGTTAAACCCAAATAACACGTAGAGGGGTTAATAGATGTTTGCACAGAATTTAAACAAATTTCAATTAACAATTGAAACATAGTATGATTATTAATTAGTCCAGTCTAATTTACATGTAATCTATCCTATGTTAAATTACCGCAGTATAAAAAAATTGTTGGAAAGTAAAGAACACAAAGAATTTGATGACGAAGAAACCCCAACTGAGTAAAATTCCGGGTACAAGCCAATATGAATCCACTATAAACGAACACAACTTACAGTACCGCCAGACTAGACCCACACACATTCTTTCTGACCTCCTGTACTGTAATTCCTAAAGTCCTCTTGGATTGCGTGCTCCTGCACCAATTCCTGACTTTTGATCTTATTTATCTCTTATGGATTCCCTGAGAACTCTATGTTCTCCAATGACCGGAACTTTGATCACCTTCCCTAATCTTCAACTCTCGATGGATCATTTGGAACCTTTTGGTTTTGGTGTTTGAATTTCGGGTTTTGATGTTTTTTCAGTTGCTTAAATTGAAGAATGGATTGTATGTTTTTGAAGGATGCAAGTGTTTTCTCCAATGGACAATCCTCGCTTTTTCGTGAAACAGTGCAAATATATATACGTGGGATGTTTTGGGTAGTTTGGAATTGTTAAAACTCTCGAAAAAAGAAAATTAGGGTTTTAAGGAAAAAACTATTGTTGAGCGATCATTAAGCCAAAAGCTAGTGACGGTCTTTCGCTCGAGCGAAGGTTTGGCGAGAAGCTAGCAAAGTCCTTTTTGCTTGTGTTGCTCGAGCAGTGTGTTGGCGAGAATCAAGCGAAAATGCAGTGGTCCTACCTCCCTTATTTTGAACTTAAACCCTAACCTACCAACAGTTTTTATACAATATTGCACATGACCCTCGACTTTAACATGTTTCAATTTGACCCGTTTTGCTCACAGAATTTCCAATTACAATTAAACCTAACAAACTGATGCATGACATCAATTAATGACACTTCTTTGTCACCTAAATGTTTGTTATTTCTTTAGGAAAGAATTGCTTTAAACTTGAGTGCCAACAATGGTGGAACTTCACTGACTTTTCTGATATTTTGTAATTTATTATGAAAGTAACTTGTACTCGAATGAAGGTTTATGTCGCCAAAGAGTGAAAAATGCCTAAAGAGACATCATGAAATTTTAAGGATTGTTTTGAAAAAAGCTAATATTTACCCTATTCTAGTTTATTGGATTACTATAATGCTTTGCTGGTTTCTATTTGATTCATTTGTTGTCTTGGCATTGTAATTTTGTGCTCTTCAGTACTCTCATAAATAGTTTTTATTGTATTTAATAATATTTTATGGTAAGTTGATGCCTTGATGATGAGGATGTTACCGAGGTATGAATAGTTGGAATGTCACATTGCATTTACTGATTATTATAATTCAATCTCATCCTATGAAATGTTATTTTTTTCTTAATTCGTCTCTCCTCGTGATTAGGGTTTGTTTCAATTCAAAAAGTTGAGCTGGATATTGAATTAAGTGAGCATTAGATTTTTATTATTGATAATCTAATGTATAGGGCTGGTTCTAAGATTTTGGGTCCCTGTATGACGTTAATGGTACTCCTTTAATATAATTAAAAATATATTTCAATAATATTATTTCTAAAAATGTGACATTTGAATATTTGTAGAGCAAGCAATAAAAACCGATAGTGGAGTTTTGGTCGATTCATTACCCTAAAATGGACGGGATCATGAACCAGCAATATAATAGTGTGTAGAGTGTTGAATCTATGAGGACTATGTGTTTGATGCAATTAAAATTAACAATACTCTTAATCGAATAGCAAAATCAAGTTGTGACTAAACAATACTAAATCTAGCAACTAAATTGAAAGAAATGCGAAAATTTATCAAATTTGGGGGATGTATTGCTAAGATGTAGTAGGGCTGGTTCTAAGATTTTGGGTCCCTGTATGACGTTAATGGTACTCCTTTAATATAATTAAAAATATATTTCAATAATATTATTTCTAAAAATGTGACATTTGAATATTTGTAGAGCAAGCAATAAAAACCGATAGTGGAGTTTTGGTCGATTCATTACCCTAAAATGGACGGGATCATGAACCAGCAATATAATAGTGTGTAGAGTGTTGAATCTATGAGGACTATGTGTTTGATGCAATTAAAATTAACAATACTCTTAATCGAATAGCAAAATCAAGTTGTGACTAAACAATACTAAATCTAGCAACTAAATTGAAAGAAATGCGAAAATTTATCAGATTTGGGGGATGTATTGCTAAGATGTAGTAGGGCTGGTTCTAAGATTTTGGGTCCCTGTATGACGTTAATGGTACTCCTTTAATATAATTAAAAATATATTTCAATAATATTATTTCTAAAAATGTGACATTTGAATATTTGTAGAGCAAGCAATAAAAACCGATAGTGGAGTTTTGGTCGATTCATTACCCTAAAATGGACGGGATCATGAACCAGCAATATAATAGTGTGTAGAGTGTTGAATCTATGAGGACTATGTGTTTGATGCAATTAAAATTAACAATACTCTTAATCGAATAGCAAAATCAAGTTGTGACTAAACAATACTAAATCTAGCAACTAAATTGAAAGAAATGCGAAAATTTATCAAATTTGGGGGATGTATTGCTAAGATGTAGTAGGGCTGGTTCTAAGATTTTGGGCCCAATTGGAGGATCCCCAAATCAGATAGCCCAAAGAACGAAGCCCAATCAAACAATTCAAGATGAAGGCCCAAATAGGGAGGCCCAAAAACGCGGTAACGCCATTGTCCAAGTTTGCAAGTCGTCCAGAATCTGAGCGAATGGAGTGACATGTAGTCGCCCAGAGCTGTTACTCTATTCTCGCCCAAACCTTCAAGTCGCCCAAGGTCTTAGCAAACATAAAGTGTTGTGATTATCAAGAAGTGCAGATGTCAAAGCAGTTATTAAAGCAGCCCTATCACATTCCACGATTCAAGGAATTCAATCGAAAACGGTTGAACGACGAAGAGTAATGGCAACAGCTAAAAAAGGCAGTTCCATGACAAGTTGGCCATTACGAGAAAAGTGGGCAGTTGTAGAACGATCAAGCAGTTTTTAGGCAGTTGATCACAAAGAGATCATCCAGGGAGTATAAAAGGGAGAAAAGACATAGAGCAAAGGATCGAATCAAAAACTCTCGAACAGAGAACATGTAATTTAAAATTCCTTAGCTTAGATTTAAACACTTCTTTCAATAACTCGTGTGCTTGCGCCCCTTGGAGGCATTCTGTTTTTAATTTCCAATTGTAAAGTCATC